CAAAATGCACATTTATTGGACATTCTGATTTTAAGTCACGTTGAAGTGGCGTGTATGTGAAGGTGGTACTTTTATTGAATAACAGCAGATTAAATATCTACGAAATTGTAATCTTATCTAAACACTTGAAGAAAAGGAGGGCTCACTTCTTTAGGTAAACTTGAAACATTTTCTTAACATCTGGTCTATCATATAAAAATATTATCAGATTTGAACTGTTCTAGTCACCGCCTCCCTTACTACTTAGGCTGCCAGGAAATTCAATGGAAAAGACATAGTTTTCCAATGGTTGGGTCTAGTTTGTTGTTGTTGCTATTTGTGGTTTAGAGTGTTGGTGCTAGGCAAGTCTCAGTCTCTGAAATTCCATAAGAACAATGTTCTGCACTGTACCCTTAGCGATATAGATTTTCATTTCCTTATATTTTTTAAAAATTAAATCTTCTTGCAAAGATTTATAAAGTTTGGATGCATGCATCTTCTTGTAATAATCAAATCAGACTTGATACATCCAACATCTCAAACATTTAGCATTTCCTTTTGGTGAAACTATCAAAGTTCATATCAATAATATCCCTTTATCAACGATATCATTCCAATTTCTTCAGCTCTGATCCTTTATCTTTCTTCATTTCATTGTTTTCTTGTAATAAATTACTGACTTTATGTTCATTGCAGAGTAAGAAAACAAATATTTTCAAGTTTTATAATTGGAAACAGAATTCACAAAAGAAAAGTCTGTTGACATAGATGAATTTTGCGTTTGACATATATGATTTCTCACACAAACCATATTGTCGGCAATGGGATAGCAATAATTTACTCTTGTAATCATCAATAATATGACAAAGGCAGCCTTTTAAATCACAGAATGAATTTTTAGTCATTGAAATAAATAAAATTACCAGGAAAATCTCTACACCAGTTTGGTATTTCCATGTAACCAATATTAGTTTTATATAAATAAAAACGCAATAAAAATACATTTATGGAAAATAGCTGCAGTGCAGAATTTGGGGTTTTTGACTATAAGTCATCAAAAAGGTAAATTAATTTTATGATCTCTCCTCTAAGTACATGAGATTGTGTTTGAAATACAGAAGATACTCAAAGAGTTGAACTAAGTGACAAATGACCTTAGAGTCTGAAGATTTAATTTCCTACAATACTTAGTGGGAAATGGGAATTATTGAGGATAATTTTCCCTTTTCTTTCAAGGCAATATTTCTCTGTGTAGGGCTGGCTGTCCTAGAACTCAGTTTGTAGGCTAGACTGGAGTTGAGCTCAGAGATCCTCCTGCCTCTGAATTGCTGCCATTGAAGGCTTTATGCCAACACTTCAGGCTTTAATTTTCTTTTCTTGAAGATGTAGTTATGTTTTCTGTATCTTTTTATACATACTGGCAATTTAGAAGGCAAATAAGATGAGACAACACAAGTTTGAAGCAGAAAATCATTCAGAAAAGAAAAAGTATTTTTGTTATAAAGGAATTCTTTGAGAAACAAAGGCCCAAGTTGACTTTGAGCTACCAGGATCAAGTAGTTCTCCTACTTCAGTGTGAATGGTTTTCAGGGTTCTTCTGCAGCTTACAACCATTGCAACAACATATGAGAATGCCATAAACTCTTTGTCACTTTTTTCTGAATCATGAGTTTATAAACAGGCATACACACGTCATTAACACAGAGATGCCATTTATACCACTCTGCTACTGTTCTGCTTACCATCCTCCCAGCGGTGTCCCAGCACTGGGACTCTCAAAAGTAACTGTAAGTAGGCTTCTATGTTTAAAAAAATCAAGAAAAATATCCACCAACTCTAAGAACAGTGAGTTATTTTTTTTCTTTCAGGGGGCAGGAGTTTGAGCCAGACTTTCTCTGTGTATTCCTGGATGTCCTGGAACCTGCTGTATAGACCAGACTGTCCTGGAACTCACAGAGATCTGCCTGCCTCTGCCTCCCAAATGATGGGATTAAAGGCGTGAATTACTACTGCATGGCAAGAACTGTGAATTCTATTATACACCTGTAAAATAATATAATCATGTAAATCAATATGATACATTATATAAAATAGCAATAAACTGAACACAACATGCAAAGTGTGCCAGGTTTATAGTGAACAAAAGAAAGCAATAGGTCTCTATACACACACTGTTATAGGAAATAGTGTTTGAGATACAATGTGAACTTTTCCAAAATAAAGAAATATAAAAATTCTACCCAGGAGAGATGATGATATCACATATCTATATTCTAACTTCGGTGTTTATTTCCAATAATGCATAGTTTGGGGTGTATAAAATTGTCCTGAGTAAACTCCAATTCAAAAATGTTTGATTGTGTGTGTAAACCAATGTCACATCTTTTGTATTTTGGCTAAAATTGTTGAGGTATAAACATCTCAATCGTTGATAGAGAACATATTATACTCACTCTAAACTTACCTGTTGGGAGGGGTTCAACATCTAGCTGTAGATTAATCTCAAGAAATCATATCAATATCATTGTTAGCATTGAGTTTGTGAAAACCAATTGAAGATTTCATGAACTGTGTGCTTTACTCTTGCAACTTAGTTTGATTAGATGTAAATTCTACCTCCACATGTCACGAATTGTATATTAAAATGCAAAGTTTTATGTCCTCTTAACCTGTGTTATTTTGTATATCTGATGTTATTCTTTCTTGCAAATGTAAGCCACAGAAATGAATTTCAAAACCATTCTCTGAACCCTGGGAAAAATTTCAAACTCAGATTATAAATTTGCTTTCCAAACACTATGCTAACAAAATTATAGGATTTACCAAATAATGCTAACTCTGCCCTATTGTGGTTTACTAAAGGAAACAGAGCAATTTTCTCTCAATCATTTGTTCAGTTTGCAGAAGCTTTTCAATCAAAAATAACAATGACCCTGCTTCAGGGGAAAACTGTCAAACAAGCTGATCTCTTAGTCCGAGGCCAGTCTGATCTATTGAGTGAGTTTCAGGACAGCTAGGGTTATGCCGAGAAAGCCTGCTATGAAAAACCAAAATGATAATAATAACAATATAAAAGACTGCATCCATAAAGACCTGCACACATCTAAAGATTTTCATAGGAAACCGACTCCTTTGAAGATGTTAATGAAGCATGCAATGCTGTTCAATGTACTCAAATCTTTTGGCCATATTTAGAATCCTCAAATTATCATCACCACCACTTATATTTGCCTAAAACACTATTATTATTCACATACAAAAGGAGGTCATTTTATATATGATATTTGACTGAGTTATTTATGGTATTCTGCTCTTCTGCAGGAATATTGTGAGCCAAGGTCCAGATTTTTTTCTCATGTTTTAAATGATTCCTATTTACATCATTCCTGAATGAATGACTGACCGATAGTTCTCATATAGTAGTTCTTGACTATTACACTGAATAAATGTCTCTCTCAATGTGGTATCGATTAAAACAAGTTAATTTAACTCATGAACGCAACTAAAAAATATCACTCAATAGAGAAAAGTATAACTCTATCTCAATACAGCATTTATGCAAAAGTGATTATTAATATAATCATGGAGAATTTTTATAACCAAGGCAAAAAAGACTTGTGTGCACATACCTCATATTCCACTTTCATTGAACAGAAAAGAGGTTTACTGAAGAAGGGTCGGCATTGCGGTGACAAAAGTGACTCTGGATTCTGAAAATTTATACTTAGATGTTACCACTAGACAAGACAAATACCTCCGATTCTCATATCCTATCTTTATAATTCAGATAGTCATAGGTAATCTACCGTCATTATACATAGCATGAAGAAAGAATTACTAAATAATATTCATGATGACAAAAATGAAGACAATGAAGAATGCTAGATTTCCAGAATGTTTTAAATGAGCTATCTCAAGAGGGACAAGACAAATAAATTTAATAACTTCATAAATTACTGTAGAAATTAAATGAAATAATGTACGTAAGCCCTCACAGCAAGCCTAACAAATTGAAATAATTCACACAGTGTGGTTGAACATACACCAAGCAGGATTTTCTATAGATATTGTATATAGTCTATACAAGTAGGCAGTGTGGCAGGACTTGGTGGTGAACACCTTTAATCTCACTCAGGGTGCAGATACAGGCAGATCTGTAGAGTTATTTTGTTTGTAATCTGACAAATAAAGATCCTGCCTGCAGATCAGAGTGCAGAGCTAAACCACCAGTTAGTCACAGAGACCAGGCAGTGGTGGCAAACACCTTTAACCCCAAAGAGACAGAGGGAGAGGGATCTCTGTGAGTTCAAGGCCACCCTGAACTACACCTGGTTGAATCTGTCTAAAAGAGAATCAGAGCTCACACAAAGGTGGTCCCAGCACTTGGGATCCCGCACCTTTAATCCCAGCACTAGGGAGGTAGAGACAGGAGGGTTATGGCGGAGAGAGAAATATAAGATTTGAGGAGACAGAAGCAGAAGTGCAGTCTGAGGATTCATAGAGACAATCAGTCTGAGTCTTCACAGAAACAAGATTGTCCCTTCGGTCTGAGGATTCGGTAGAGGCAAAAGGTTTCTCTAATGGCTAGCTGAACTACTTCTCTGATCTCTCCGTTTTCACCCCTAATATCTCACTCTGAATTGTTTTGTTTTGTTTCGAGACAGGGTTTCTCCGTAGCTTTTTGGTTCCTGTCCTGGAACTAGCTCTTGTAGACCAGGCTGGCCTCGAACTCACAGAAATCCGCCTGCCTCTGCCTTCTGAGTGCTGGGATTAAAGGCTTGCGCCACCACCGCCCGGCTGAGTTTTTATTATTAAGATCAATTAGAATTCGTGGTACAAGATCTCTGTGATTTCCAGGCCAACCTGCTCTACACTGTGAGTTCCAGGCCAGCCAGGTCTACACAGTATCTTTCTCAAAGAAAATAGGCATTGGGCAACACGAAATAGGGCATACTTCATGGTTACCTTTTGTATGATTTTTCTAATATTTATTTTCATGAAAATCATTTTTCCACAACTCATCATTTACGGTAGATGTGCCTGCTCACACCTTCATGGATTTCTATTACCTCTACCCTATCTATAGCAAGGTTTACTTTCTGTGTGTAAATATATATGATTTATTTCTTCAGTAGAATTAAAGGGTATGGGTTTTTTTTTTTTTTTTTTTTTTTGCCATTTGACCAGCACAGGCCATGGTGCTGGACTTCACCACAAATGACAAGACTCTCAAACTCAAAGCACAAAGAAGTGAGGATTCCCTTTCCCTAAAATACTTTCACATAGCTTCTTGACAAGGACCAAGAACTGAAGAAAAATAATGCCAATTCACAGTGGAAGACATTTTTATCAAGTAAGTAGAAGACTCAATAAGTTAAAAACTTTGAGAAAACAGCAGTAAGTTTGGCAGGTGGTTAAAGAGAATTAACATCACGTTAGGAAGTATCTAAAATGCTGTCTATCCAAAGCGGTTGAGGGCTTTGAAGAAACTGTCTTTGAAAATAGAACAAGACTAGTAAGAGAGGAGTAAGTAAGATCCCCTTGAAAGGCAATGCTAAAACTCCACCCGCTTCAGCTGTCAGCTCACAAAACATGCTACTGAATAGAAAAATCACATAGAAAATACGGTACTTCAAGCATGCCCATCTCCATCAGTAAGAGGCAATTTCATAGTTTATAATAAGTTGAGAATTGAAATCAAATTCAAAAATTAAATAATACACAAGCATAATAAAGGGCAAAGGACACCTGTTAGAACAATAAATGGCTGCAGGTTTGAAAATTAGATTTGAGCCCTGCCTATGCTCTGTATTTCCCACTATGGTCCTTGACATCTTACGGGCTTAATTTAAAGAAAATATTGGCTCATTCTAATTCATTTTTACTAGTATTGCAGCTACTACTATTACTGTTATTATACATTGCACACTGAAAGCATCACTAAATCATATCCATGATGACAAGAGTGAAAGGCAATGAAGTGGCTAGTTTTCCAACATTCTTTTTTATTTATTTATACTTTATTTATGAGTGCTCTGCATGCATCCCTACACGCAGTTATCAGATCCTATTATAGATGGTTGTGATCCACAATGTAGGTACTGGGAATTGAACTCAGGACCTCTGGAAGAGCAGCCAGTGTTCTTAACCTCTAAGCCGTCTCTCCAGTCCCTCCAGTATTTTTAAATGAGTTGCCATGAGAAATTAAACAAATAAATTTAATGCTGAAGATAGAATCGTAAATTGATAATTATCCATGACATCACCAGGCATGGGCTGTATTCCTAAATTTTGGTACTTACATTTCTCAAAGATCTCTTGTTGGACTCCACTATCTCCAGAACCCAAACAAGGGGGATTACTGGGATGAAGGTCATGAGGTCTGTCTTTGGTAGGCCTTCTCCAGAACATACACTCTGCCTCCTTTTCTGAGAGTAAGACCATCTTACCTTTGCTAAGTATTCTGACTCTAAGGGCGGCTGTCTCTCCTCCGCTGATTCCGGACCTTGGGATAGGCTGGGGCTGAAAGCCATGAGGTCGGTCTTGGGCGGACCCTCTCCAGAGCACACCCTCTGCCGCCTCTGCTGTGAGTATGACCAGGTTCCCGCCGCGCTGGAGCACACCAGCACGGGCTTCCCTGGAGCACAGGCTCCATCTGTGGGCGTCGCCGAGCAGCGCAGCGCGGTGTACAGCAGCAGCGTGAGCACCA